TCAGATTGACTTCACAAGTTTATCAGTTGTAGATGTGCATTCAGTCATTTGTTCCTGAATGTTTCATTAAAATCCATTCAGTCATTTATGATATATTTTGCTAACAGACTGTGTGTTAGTACAAACACACATACAGTAGACAAGGGCAAAAATATTATCAATATATACTTTTGGCAGCAGATGATTAAAATGTGTAACAAGAAGAAGGATGTTCTACTTTTGGTAGAAAACAGTATTTTTCTTTTAAGCCTATGTTTGTAAAACAGAGGTTGAAAGACAAATGGCTTTAAGCGGCAGTGCGTTTCACTTCTGACCCTCTCAAAGAGACCTGCAAAGTGCACCTGTTTGCTCACACATAACTGTATTTTTACGGCTCTTAGACAACCGCATGCTGGTTAAAAACATGGTGGAGGGCCATTATCCTGCCAGGAGAGAACTTTGCACCGGCACCTGGGCACAGTCTGACGTTCCTYTTATACACCCGTGGCATAGTGATTGTGGCTCTGCGCTCACAGTTATTAAGTAACCCAACTTCACAAAAGGATTATTATCCTCCCCGTTCTGAGTCAAGCTGTTCTAATACCTTTCCTTGTTTGGGAGTCTTTGAAGCAGAATGGGATTTTTTCTTTGTCCYCGTTTGATGTGCGTGTAGGCGCCTGTGGACGAATGATTTGCTTTGTTTCCTCCTGTCTTTGTTCTTTTGTGTTTATTTTCGTGTTGTTTTGTGATATTATTTCAAACAATTTTTTTTCATGCTTAGATTTTGTTTTTTGTTTTTTTACTTTAAAAAAAACTTCATCTTCAAAAACCACTTGGAAAGATGGTAAAGTATTAGGTTTTAGTGTGTAACATTCTGTTATCATCCTGAAACTAATTAGTCTTTCTTCTTCATAGGAGAAATGAAATTACTGTTGTACGTACTGTAGATCTGCATTTCATTTTTAAGATCTAAATGAACTTGGATGTTACTAAATTGTACAAATTGCACCAAAAGAAAAAAGTCTTGTATCTTAAATTTCTACAGCTAGAGAAAAAGTCTCTTTAAATTTTCAGTACTGACGATTAATTAAAAAGAACTGGATGTTTTGAAATCTATACCACCAAATATTTGATTTATCTTCTTGTCATGCTTCGTTGGAAGGTGACCTAYGATGGTCAAAGGTTTTCTTTTGCTAAAGTTCCAATGTGGCGCAACTCCTACATGGCATTTCCCATGGGGTCTCCCATCTAAGTACTAACCAGGCACAGCCCTGCTTAGCTTCCAAGATCAGACAGGGGCTGGCGTGTTCAACAATTCTTGCATGCTAATTGACATGGCAATACCATCAGAAACAAACACCTCTGTGAAAATGACGGAATAAACTTTCAAAGTATAAAGATCTGGAAATTGAAGTCAGCAGAATGTGGAGCATGAAGACTGAAACAGTACCAGTGGTCGTGGGAGCTTTAGGACTCGTGAAGAAAGGACTGGAGATATTCACCAACAGGAATCCAGGCAACATCATAGTTCACGAGGTCCAGAAGATTATCCTCTTGGCAACAGCACACATACTAAGGAGAGTATTATCCCTTAGRTAACCTCACCCCTTTAATGCCTTAGGACAGGGCTAGTCAACTGGCGGCCCGCAGGCCACATTCGGCCTTGCGTGTGACCAAAGTTTGGCCTGCCCATTCATTCATCTCTTTTCTTTTAGTTAGATTTAGACATGTTTGGTATCTACAGAAATGTCTAGAAGCTGATAAAATCCATTTCTATGAACATCCAAGACAGCTAAAACTACAAGCAGTTGAAGATAAAATTACGAAAGTGAAAATAAAATTGGTTTAAAAATTTGGCAAGTCAGAGATGTCAAAATAATATTTGTTAAATAAGAGGCATAATGTGTTATTTTTGTTTTTGAAATTCTTTTATTATCACTACTTTTATTATAGGGTTCTGTATGTTGTCTTCATGGTTAAATGCAGCAAAATAAACTATTTCAAAGGTAACAGATCTTTGTAAAGCTTGGTTTATTTACATAATGACTTTAATTGCTGGATGTTTGGCACCTGTGCCATTGGCCTGCAGTAAYTGTGGYCCCCGGAGAAATTTAGTTGACTAGACCTGCCTTAGGACCATGAGTAGGTCCCGGCTCTAAAAGATGCAAACAGATACAAGCATTTAAAGGAAACATAATAATAATTATAATAAATTAAAGCCCTAGCATTCCTTCATGGRATGCATACCACCTGTCACCTTTCATTTCAGAGCTTTAGGGTTAAAACTACTTTTATTAAAAAAAAGATACACTTGTGGACAACTTTGGTCAATCGTTGAACCTCATSGTATGTACAGTCTCAATGAACATGACGTCACAACGATTATATCTGAATGCCAGATAGAAASCAAGCATTTACAGTAGCCAGAACTCTTGTGCAGAAACACTCTCTGACTTGCTTTGTAAAGTCACACATAAGATTCTATCAGCAGAAAAACGATAATCTCTTGAAGTATCTTCACACAACCGACACTTAATGACTGATAAGTATGGTGAAGTATGTAAACGTTAACTTCACTGATGTAAAGTGGGTCAGAGATTACAGACTGGTACTTCGGTGTCATTGGTCAAGGAGGTTTGTTCAAGACTAAAGCAGAACTTGTTTCGAGGCGAAGATGATTGACAAGTAGAGCAACAGAACCTCCACCCGACTGGACCACTTTGTTCCTGCTGTGGTTTGTTGGGCACAGAGCTCTAATCCTCTGCCTGCTGACACCAAGCAGCCAGACCCCATAATTACATCGAGATGACTTGAAGAAAAAGTTCATTTGAGATCAATTGCTTTGGAGACTATGAGAGGAAATAACGTTATATTTGACTGATTTATGTTGAAACTTAAATCTGATTGTAGGTACTTCAAATGAGAACAAAGAGAAAAGGAATGCATATCACCATTTATGCTGGAGTGTTAAACTAAAATCTGTTTACGATGAGAAAGGAGGGTTGCATAGCTGTTCGGTCAAACCTTGTAAATTATATACAAGACTTGTTGGCGCTCAATATCTGTAAATCTGACTGTGTCACAGCCATTTTTGTGCTAAGGTCGATTAGGCATGGTGGTCAGTTGTACAGCCAGGAGTTACTTTTTCAAATCTCCATTGGAAACCTAGCCGTGTTCATGATATGCTGCAAAAACTGTCCATCTTACCAAGTTTTAAAATCTTATATCCAGTCAAAAAGTCTTTTTGATCTTGTTTTCGAGACAGATTTACTAAAAAAGAACTGATTGTGTAAGAATAATAATCTTGTTTTCAGAATATGTAAGATTATTTGTCTTGTTAGTCTGAATATTTCACTCAAATAAAGTCAAAACTTTCTGCCAACGGAGTAAGAAAATTTTATACGGTAAAAAATTGAGTCAAATCAAGTATTTCAAGAATCTTACCAAGTAAAATTTTCTTACTCCATTGGCAGAAATTTTTGACTTAATTTGAGTCAAATTTTCAAACTAACAAGACAAATAATCTTACACATTCTGAAAACAAGATGATTATTCTTACACAATCAGTTCTTGTTTAGTAAATCAGTCTCAAAACAAGATCAAAAAGACTTTTTGGCTGGATATAAGATTTTAAAACTTGGTTAGGTGGACAGTTTTTGCAGTGTAACAGTTAAGGCCAACGTTTGAAAGCAAGATGTTCATTGTGTAGTTCTCGATTGTGTTGTGGTTGACACTCATCTACCACACCAAATGTTGTCTCAATATCTGTAGAACTGTCTTAAAAGGTAGCTATTTCTTTTTGATGGCAGCCATCTTGAATTAGATTAACTCAAAGGTTAACCAGTTTTAGATGAGCTTAACATGAAAAGACAAACACGTGTCCATCCGTTGTCCTTTGAGTGCAGGCGATAACTGTATTAGCACAAACACTTTGAAAGAAGACATTGATGAAGTGTACCGTCACGCACTAATGCAATATTTAATTTTCAAGTGATGCTAATAACAGAGATAAACTCGAAGAGAAATCCTTCTGTAAATGTTCCAGGTGAGTTTGCCCTTTTCATATTAGACACGATCCAGCAGCTCCATTCTCAGGGAGCCTGTCAGCTCAGCTTGTTCAGAGCTAATGCAGCAGAAATAAATGTAACTAAGTGAAAAAAGGTGATGCAGTTACATATTTATCCTGTTTGCACCTTTTGACACACGATTTGCTCTTCTGAGACCAATTATTCGGCACGATAGCACTCTACATATGATCTATTCATAGACTGCATTTGTGAATTTATTTTGGCGCTCAAGCCTTGAAAATTTAAAGACCTCTGCTCTGATCTTCTGGTGCTAAAGAGGAGAAATAAAAGGAGTGACCAAATTAAGACTTAACCATGCATTGAGTCAAATAAAACAAATTATATTATGACTTTTCTAAAGCTTAGCTCCTCGCAGTGGGCTTACTGCTCCAACAGATGGCAGAATTAGTCTGAATTGGGCAAACTGGTATTAGTTTCTAACTGGAACCACTTGAGGTCAGTGTTGCGCCTTAGTCTTTTCTGTTTCAGACGCCAACTCTCCAAAGAGCTGTACTAAGAAAAATACATTTTTTGTATAAATATCACTACTTCCTTTTTATGTTCCATTCACTGAACTCAGAATATCTACTGTGGAATAATAAAAGTTGTCTGCATTTGTGCCGATTATAAGCCTTTGAAAAAGCAACCGATCTGAAAAATCTATTTGTTCTAAAACGCAGTGTATTTATTTTTTCTAAAGTTTTCTCTCACTTCTTTTTTTGGAGCTTTTGTTAGAAGTGATTTGTCGAGACTCCGTTAACATGAAAGCAGGAAAGTTCTCAGTAGGCTTTGCACAAAAGACTTGTGATTTTCTGCTGCAGTTCTGGGACATCAGCTGCCCCACGTCAAATCTTCTCGAAGCTGTGCTATAAATAGACAGTGATAAAGTCTACGGCTTACTTTAAATATGTATCTGGTGTGTGTGTGTGTGTGTGTGTGTGTGTGTGTGTCCAGGCAACCAGGTCCTGCAGTTTGGGAAGATCGTGAGCACCTCCAACACCTACGAGCCCGTCGCTCCTGGAAACCCCAGGAAAGCCGTAACAGTGAGCACAGACCAGCCTCTGCTCTGGAGCATGGGCATCAGGAAAAGTGGGGAATAACAAGTGAAAGCTCTTTTCTGCATGGCTGAAAAGCTTCGAGTATTCTTTTATTATGTGTTTCTAAAGCCAAAAAATGGCTGCCTCTCATCTAAATATCCATATTCATGCTCTGCTTTAAGCAGATTTTAAACCACAATACTTAAAAAGTGCCTAATTTTATAGATATTTTTGTATCATAGGTTTTTACAAGCACTTTGATGGTGACGTTTAAAATAAAAAAACGTAAAAATCAGTCTTTGGCTTTCCACTTGTTCTTTTATTTACATGGCAAAATAAAAAAAGTGAACAGAATGTAAAAATGTTGCCCTTTCAGTTTCCCCATCACACCAGTCCAATAACACTTTCTGTGCGTGTCCACGTTTGTGCTGTTGATCAGGATTCAGCCACCACTGGAAGACAAAATAATAAAAAATAATGTTTGAAACTTGATTTATTTAAAAGCATCTGCATTATATGAATCAGTGTAAACAACAGAACTAAAAATGACAGCTGAACTTTTCTGGTGCGTTTTCAACATTTTGATGTGTAACAATGGCACTTGTCAAACTAATGATTCAATTGTTAACTGTGTGTTTTATGACTTTGTATTTTTGTTTTTATGATGTAAAGCACTTTGAACTGCCTTGTTGATTAAATGTGCTACACAAATAAACATGATTGACAACTATCTTGCACGAGCTTAAGTGAAGGGTTCTTAAAACACAATGACTGGTTGTAAAATCAGCATGATTTAAGCTTAGATACAAAAAAAGTTAATACATTTAGAAAAATAAAAGGTCAAAACATCCGTACAGTGTATGAACTATCAAAACAAATCCAAATATTCAGTAACTTCAAGCATTCAGAGTTTGGTACTCACACAATGATGTTGTTGATGGGGATGTGAATGAGCTTGACAAAGAAACCGATGAAACCCATGATGGCAAACCCAATTGCTGTGGCCATAGCGATCTTCTGAAACTCTGAAAAAGGATAAAACAGTTAGAAATACAAAGCATCCATATAAAACCCTCATTAGTGTTCAAAACTAAATCAAGTGTTGTCAACCATCACAAACAGGCATACATATGAAAAACTTACCTTTTCTGTCGGGTTTTGTGCATCTTTTTACAAGCCTTATAGAGTCTTTGACAAACTGCCGGCTGGGCTCAACAAACTGCATCACCTGATCCATGTTGTTTGGGCTGCAAGCATAAAGAAAAGTAGGGTTCAAGGAAACCATAAAACTTAGGCTTACTTTCAGGGATGACGGGGACTCCAGTACAGATTTGTATCGCTTCAATGACGTCATTGTCAGTAATCGTATCTGGTTTACTACTATAATGATAAATGTATTATTTAACAGTAAAAAGATGCGATATGTACTAGTAGTAGCCACAACTAAAGAAACACGCTACGTCGACGTAGCATTGTTTGACGTTGTCTTATATTATAACCGGTCAATAAGGCTAAAAATAAAAATAGAACATATACAATGTCACAATCGCTCACGTTTTGAAAAGCTAAAAATACAAAACTGTTATTAAAACCCGTGTTATTTTACCTGTTTTCCACGTAGCACTAAACCAGAAGGCAGAAAGTAGAAGAAGAAATGGCCACGTAGCTTTTCAACAACTAAATGCGAAGGGCTGACGTAGATTTAAAGAGCGCATGCGCACAATGTTGTTGTCGTGTTTCCGGTTTGCTTTTTTGTCTATGCTGCCCCCTGCAGGCCAGGAGGTTTTACTGCAGACTTCACTTGCATTGTGCTGCTTGAAATTTACCTTCGTAATTAAATATAAAGGTCGGAAAGGGTTCTTGGACCTGAGTTAATTTTAAAGCTTGAGTTATTACAGAAACATTAAAAGGCAGTTTTGTCTAAATTTTGGATAATATGCATTTACTTGCGTCATGTTTACAATCTATTAAAAGTTGTTATAGACCAGCACATCTTATATTTTTTTACTCTGTGCCACTAGTCTCTATCCGTCAGTCAGTACATTTCCACAGACATCAGTTTCACCTGTTTCCTCTTTTGTTTTTTTCTGTCACAGCTGCAGTCCCTCAGTCTTCTCATCAGCTCAAATCTTTATAGTCCCTCAGAATTACATCAGTCAGGAGTAGAATATTGTTTGTGCGCCATGTCCAGGTGTCTTTGAGTTTTGTCAATTTCTTTTTTTGTTGTTAAGAAATTTTAGTTTTATTTTTAAAAGCAGCTAGACAATTCCTCTTTGCCTACAAAGAAATACAAGAGCAGATAGAATATTTTTTATATTTTTCCAAATGTGTTTTATTTGTAATATATTATATCACATGTGTCCGTAGGAGCCAAGTGTTCATTAAAGCGCTGTAGCCATTGTTCTGGCTTAGACCTCATTCCTGAGGAAATAATTACTCATGTGATTTAGATTAAGATCAGCAGTTTCTTTTTCTGGCCTTTTTTTTTTTCCTCCAGATAAAGTGAGATGTGTTGGCAAAAAAAGGCTTACTGATATTTTAGGCATCTCTCTTTAATTAATTAACTATAAGGTTCGCAAAACTCATCGGCCGTTTATTGTAATAGCACTGAACGAAATGTCAAAAACATTCAAGTAAATTCACCGCTACATAAATAAAACTATAGGTAAATATATTAAGAATCTACAAAGTGGTTGTAAGTTTACTCATTTTAATATTTACATGATGTCATGCTGTCACTCATTAAAGACTAAACCAGAATACACATATTTATAAATTATACAAAAAAAAACTGACATCTGGAAAAAAACAAATTACATTTTGACACTTGATTTGAATATATGATTTGTTCCTGATAAACATAAAAAAGAAGAACATCGTAGCAGTTTTGGATTATATATAAAAAAGAGAACATCACTGTCACAGAGACACTTGAAAGGACCTATAAAATGCATAACAGTGCTTTAGAAAGGTGATGTTCACACAGAGGGCCCAGTATCTGTCACTGTGCAGTTTATTTGCTGCTTTTCACTGCCAGCTGATACCAAGCATGTTGCAGCTGACCTCCCACAGTTTCTGGGCCAAGTCATCATCGGCTGCCGTCCTGGAGCACCTCGCAGGAGCGCAGTCACTGAACACACACAGGGACAAGAAAGTGCTCAGTACACACGGTGCAATAACTCTGTTGTGCATTCATTAAATCATTTTTAAACATGTATCAAACTCTTGACTAATAAAACTGTCCCCATGTTAGTCAGCTGACAGAAACCCAGAGCAGAGTGTTCACCTGAAGTACTCTCCACTCAGGCTCTCCAGACCTGGTTCCACAGCACAGAAGATGGTGGTCTGTGCTCCTTCCACTGTTGTCTTTGTAAAAATTCTGAAAATCTTCACTGCTGCCTGGATACACTGATGCTGGTGCCTCCACAGGTCAGACTGTACCACCCCTGGGTGCAGGGAGAAAACACTCACCTCTGTACCTGCAATGCACGGACAGGGTCTTACAGAAGATGCTCCAACACATTTAAGCCTTCTTTAATTATTCTATTCAAATGAGATATGAATGTTGGTCAAATTCGGCAGACATTTAGACCTGAAATGCGCATCTCTTCATAAATGTTTCACAAAACTCTCCCTCACCTTCTAACCGCGTTGCAAGAGAACGTGCAAACAGGACATTAGCCAGTTTGCTCTGCCCATAGGCCTTCATGGCATCATAGCTCTGCTCACTGTTGATGTCGTCCAGTCGAAGCCCAGTCCAGGTGTGGGCCACCGACGACACAACAACAACACGAGCCGGAGCCGAACGCTTGATGAGGTCGAGCAGCAGGTAAGTGAGAAGGACGTGGCCTGCAGAAAATCAGGAAAAATATTCATTTACTGTAATTTACTTCCACGTGCTCATGGGCTTTCGTACAAAACTCACCTAAACAATATAATTACAGTAACAGTAAGAATTTTCACAACATTTCTGAATTTTTGATTCATTTAATCTCATGGTTATCTGTGGAAATAAAAACCAGTATTGGGTTGTAAGCCAGAAAGTTTAGGCAATGACGGCCATTTATGCCTAAATATTTGGAAAATGTTCTGCAAAAATAGTGCTAATAAAAATGTGCATAAATGGTTTTAAATGTGCATAATGCAAAGATTGCTTTGGAAACCGTTGTAGGCCTGTGTGTTTCTACATGTGCATCCGGGAGTCCATTTGTGTGTGGGCAGGGACGGATCATTCACACTGACAATCTGCGCCCAAAATAATGCACAGGGGGAGATATTGTCCAACTAAAACAAAACACAGAGCCTGAAGAAATACAGTAAGTAGCTTCTTTATTTTCCTGGTTGTGTTGCCAGTTTGCACACCTGATTTTACTCTGTAGTTTTTATAATAATTCTAACAGGATGACTGCTCTTAAAAATACTAAAGAAAGGAAGGAAGTCAAAAAATACAAAAACAAGTCAACATTTAGTAGAACTTGATTGATTGGGTTGATTATAATATTCTACTGGTTATGTATAAGGCCCACAAAAACACATTACCTTTAAACACCCAAGTAAATTTTGTTAAGAGAAAGAGTTGTTATAACCTTAAAGGGACAAAGATATTTGTAAAACCCAAATTCAGAACTAGTTTGAAGGAACGGTGTACTTTAATTCAAGGAATAAAACTATGGTATAATTTGGAGAGTGATGTAAAAAATGCAGGATCATTATGTACATTTAAGAAAATGATAAAAGTTGGATTGTTAAAGAAATACGAAACAGTATAAGGTGTATCTATATATAAATTGTTGTTCTAGAGGGATTAGACGTTCTTGTCTTTTGTTTTGTTAATAACAGCTTTTTTGTTATATGAACTTATTCTTGGAGAAAAAAGGGGCAAATATTAAGATTTTTTTCTTCTCTCTGCTGCCTTTCATTTAATTTTATTTGTGATTTTGATATACATATATATTTTTCTCTAAATTTTTCTTTTTATATTTTTTTCTTTTTATTGTATATAAATTTTTTTGTTTTGTTTTAATGAAAAGAATAAAGAGTTGAAAGAAAAATAATAAAAACTTACCCAGATGATTGACTCCCAACTGCATTTCAAACCCATCAAGTGTCTTGGAGTAGGGGCACATCATGATACCTGCGTTATTTATCAGGATATTCACTTGTTTCTCCTCTGCAAAGAATGTTTAGTTGAGCATGAGTCAGGTAGCAGATTTTAAACAAAATGTTAAACCAATGGGGGTGGTAGCATTGTGGAAGTTCTAACAAATAAACTGTACAGCTAGGTCTCTTCTCCTGAGTTAAAACTTACTGTTTTGGGGCCACTAAAACCATATATTTAATGCTGGCTGTTTACCTCTGTTTATGAGGTCAGCAAAGGCCCTAATGGATTTGGTATCAGATAGATCCAGTTTCCTGATGAGCACGTTCTCATTCCCTGTGTCCTCCAGAATGTCGTTTCGAGCCTCCTCTGCCCTCTCCAGGTCTCTGCATGCCATGATGATGCGTGCACCTAAATAAAAGAACAAGAGCCAAGCATCAAGAAGCTGATAAAATACTGCACTCGTTCCTCCCAGGAGTACCTGGAACAGTACATAACCCAGGGAACATGTTGATATGTGCTCCACTGCCTCACATTTCACTTCCTCGGGTCCCAAATTGGCTCAGATTTTTTTTAAATTTTGAGCTGTAAGTAAATACTAGGCACCACACGACAGCCTTGTGTTACTATAATAAATTTAACCGAAATTGTAATAAGCTTTAAAACTATGTGTGCTCATTTGTATGCATCTAAAGGTACCAACATCCAATCAGTGATAAAGTCCCCAAATCTCTGTGTGCCTCTGATGACTCTCTAATGATCCCCGAGCTCAAGATCTCATTTAACTGGCTGCTCTCCTCACATGAACTCAGACCCTCTCAGCTGTGCTCGTCTTCCTACTGCTTCCAACACAAACTGTGACACATTTCCTCTTAATGAGCACAGAAAGGGGGATTTGAGGACACATTTATATTCTGACTCTCACCGGTACACAAATTTGCCCACAAACCCTGAAAACATTTAATATAGAAAGACAGCACGTCACCTCAAAAAACAAAAAAAAATAAAAAATAAAAAAACGACTATCAGGCAAAGTCACACACACATTTGAAAAGAAACAGTTTCCTGCAATTAAGGAAGGGGGCGAACCATTAATCAGCCGCAGCATCTGTGTCCCATTACTGAGGCTTTGTTCCTGTTCTGCTGCTCTGAAGCATGGAAAAAAAGACAACTGCTCCAGCCTTTCAGTGAGTCGCATGAAATATAACCCATCATGGGACTTATCAATCACAGATATATCAAGATGAATAAATAAAAAGCTTTCTCAGCACTTCAGTGGAAGAACACCGCATTTCACTTAGTCAACATGTCAACATGACCCGAACACGAGAAGGTTCTAACTGAGACAATCAAAAAAGGGTTTGATTCAGTTTGTTTTCCCTCGGTGCTGCAGGGAGCAGCTGCCTGAAGGTATCACTGCCTGTTATGAGTCTGTACAAATCTAATCATGTTGTCATGATGTCTTTACTTAATCCCATTTACTGACAGATGATGCCATCATTCCACCATGGATTCTACGGAAGCAAAGACTCTGTTTTTCACACTGAAGGTGATCATTTTTTTTGCTCTGTCCATTTTATTTCTCGTTTCTTATCTGTCTCCTCTAATTGTTCATTTTTATAGCCACAAACATAATATTCTGAACAATGTCATCAGGTAAAGTGATTCAGTTTTTCTCTTTTATAGAATTAGGCAGTGAAATGTCAATTTCAGCATTTGAAACGTTCATTGAATTGTTCGTTCAAAAGTTTCAGCCTACATAAAATTTGTTTATCTGTGTGCCTAAAATGAACTTAACTAAAGAGACTGCATTTTATGTAAACATGTAGCAAAAAGCTAAAACAGCAAAATGGTAACTAAAAGTAGCAAACCGCTAGCTAAAAGCAACAAAAGATTAGCTACATGTAGCTAACTAAAATTAAAATTTATCAAGACTTTCTTAAAGCTAATATAGCAAATTGTTAGGAAATGGCTAAATGTAGCAGAACAGAAGCTAAAAACTGAGTGTGTCTGACACAGATCAACAGAGAACTTTTTTTCTCAATCTCTGTATTTGTTTATAGGGAAAATATTTGTAAATAAAGCTAAATAATGTGAAAAGTATTACATTTACAAAAAGCTAAAGTCAAGTCAAGTAGGTATGGAGCCCCAGAGGAGACATGGGAGGAAAAAAAACTGATCCTGAGTTTCTTTCTCAGGATCCTGAGAAAGAAAGTCGGGATCCTGAGAATGAAAGTTAGGATCCTGAAAAAGAAAGTCGGGATCCTGAGAAAGAAAGTCGGGATCCTGATAACGAAAGTTAGGATCCTGAGAAAGAAAGTCGGGATCCTGAGAAAGAAAGTTGGGATCCTGAGAACAAAAGTCAGGACCCTGAGAAAGAAAGTCGGGATCCTGAGAATGAAAGTCAGGACCCTGAGAAAGAAAGTCAGGATCCTGAGAAAGAAAGTCGGGATCCTGAGAACGAAAGTCAGGATCCTGAGAACGAAAGTCAGGACCCTGAGAAAGAAAGTCGGGATCCTGAGAACGAAAGTCAGGATCCTGATAAAGAAAGTCGGGATCCTGAGAACGAAAGTCAGGATCCTGATAACAAAAGTCAGGACCCTGAGAAAGAAAGTTGGGATCCTGAGAACGAAAGTCAGGATCCTGAGAACGAAAGTCAGGATCCTGAGAAAGAAAGTCGGGATCCTGAGAACAAAAGTCAGGATCCTGATGACGAAAGTCAGTATCCTGAGAAAGTAAGTTGGGATCCTGAGAACGAAAGTCAGGATCCTGAGAACGAAAGTCAGGA